GAGAGAGAGAGAGAGAGAGAGAGAGAGAGAGAGAGAATATATTTGTGCTTCCCTCCCAGCTGAGCCTGCTGAGAGCTCTCTGTACGATAAGTGAAAGTAGAAAGTGTTGAGGGCATTTTTTTTTTTAGTCTTTCAACTCTGCCAAAGCGTTACTCAGTGTGCCGCCGCCGGGGCAGCCCTTTCTGGGGCAGCCCTTTCTGGCAACGCTGCTCACAGAAGCAGAGGCTAGGCAGGCAGCTGTGTGCTGACCAAGTCCACTGCAAGAGGAGGTCTGTGGTAGCAGAGAAGGAAGACCGGGAAGCCAGGATGAGAGCCACAGCGTCTTTGCAGGTGAAGGTGGGGCTGGGGATTGAGAGGAGGAAGCTCCTACTGCAAAGAGGTTGCCTCTGCACCCACATAAAGGGCTGAGGTGCTGCCAAGAGCTGGTTTCCCGTGAATGGAAATGCAGGGGACCAGAGACAGTGAGGAACCTAGGAAAAGGATGGGCAGGGTATCAGGCCAGAAGCAGTGGTGACACAGGAAACATTTTGAAAAAGTTGAAGAAGTATGAGAGTTTCTTTCTGTCTTTGAGTTTGCAGTGATTATGTTTTATATACAGACATGAGTCCAGAATTGATTATTCTTGGCATCAATATTGTAGTTGAAGCCAAAAAAAGTATATTCATGTAGCATGAGCCTGGGATTTAGACCTCTCAGATTGTTAAGACTGTTGAATGTAACTAATTATAAAGCTCAAAAATTTTGTGTTGGAATCATGATGGTCATATTTAAGTGACAGAAAAATCCCAGGGCTTATGACTAATACACTCCGTTTTATGACAGTTGTATGTATCTAATGACAGTGTTTTGACATTTGTTTTCCCTTCAGAATTTCTAACTTGAAATGGCTAAATTTGAATTTCCCATGATAATGAAGGCATAGTGACTCAGACAGGAACGGTGTCATGGATTTTGCCTGTTAACCCTTGAGACACGGTACACACGTTGCCTAAGAGATCATTGCTTTCTGTGCAGTTACAGTCTGAAACCTAGGAGTGAGTTTTTTTTTAAGTTAGTAAAGGATATATTAAAAATAATCACACTAATGTGACCCGTTCTTTCTAATGTACAGATTTTTAATTTCTAAAGTTTTGCTTGAAAATTGTTGCTTTGTTGTGCTTTAAAGGAAAAATCCAAGATGTTGGAAGTGATTGATAAAGCAATTAATAAAAGTAACATTAAATTTATATTATCTGCTGCCAAATGATAAGCAACCACACACATCCTCTAAGAGTGTGATGATAATTTTCCTTATAGAAAACTGAAGGTGAATTATTAGCCACTGCAGAAGTTCCTTACAAGGAGCCCTCTTTTTTTTTTTTCTGTATAACTTGCTCAGGCCTTTAAAACTATACAAAGACAGGAGAGATCCTGTTCATGTTTACTGCTTTGTACCCTTATGAATTCCACATCCAAGGATAGACCTGTATTTATAAATGCCTGCCATCCCTGGGCCAAGAATGTCCAAGATTATTTTCTTCCCTCATTCGTGTAGAAAGTAAGGATTATCAGACTCAGGTTGCCTCCACTTCCTGCTCGGTGTGTACGTTAAAAGCAGTGCTGTCTCACTGAGCCGTGTCAGGGAATCCTCTCAGATAACTAATGAATACCATGGTAACAGGATATTGTGAAGTGGTCCAGAGACTGCTGAAAACAAGCACCGAACACTCTCTACTTTTGAGCTCTCATGATGGAGGGAGACAGCTTTTCAGGGTGACCCTTCTCCTGTGACCTGAGATGTCTGTCAGCCTTTTCCTGCCATATCCTTAAAACAGAAACAAAAATTCTCTAGGGCTGAGAGCCCGTGAGACCGTGAAAGAAACCCTGCTAGCTAAGTGACGCACAAGATTTCTTTCTTTCTGGTTCAAATATAATACTTGTTTGGCTATTTTAGAGCTAGCAGGGGGGAGTAGGATAGGATTCTTACTGTCGTATGTGAAGAAAACATACCTGGGTTTTTTTTTTAAGTGTCTGCATGTTAAATAAATGTATAGTGTCGATGTTTCATAACTAGAAGATGAAAGTTGGAGCCCCTTCCAATAGGGCCATGAGTGACAGACAGCTGTATGGTAGAGTCCCAGAGGTTAAATAGTCCACACAAAAGTGCTTTTTGAAGGCACATCTGAAAATAAATTTCCCAAGTGGGGACTTCTTCATTCATCATCTCAATGTGAGACATATCATGCTCCAAAATGACATTGCCAAAAGGAACAAAAGTGTTCACACCACTTCTTCTAGAAAGAGACACCGAATCTGCACATCTCAGCTTTACCAGCCTCAGAGTGTCTCTGTCAGCTGGCTGGCCATCTCCTGGCTTCTTTGTGCTCACCATATAAAGCTAGCAGGTGGCGTAACTGTGAGATCCTGCCTGATATAGGCCCTCTGGCGAGTGTAGACAACAGTGCCGTCTGTCACAATGCATTGCCATACACGGCGATGTATTTCCTTATTCGGCACCCTTGTCCCCATTGGCTGTGTCCAGGTACAGTGAGAAACTATTTTTGTACGCAGTTGTACGTTGCTTCTCTATGGTTGCTCTTGTAACATAAAAGTATAAAAAGAAGTAAAGCTCAATGAAAAAGAAACCTGCCTTTTAGAAAAACAAATGTCTACTAAAGATACGTGTTCAAGTATTGTGTGTGTGTGTGTGTGTGTGTGTGTATTGGTGTGTGTGCATGTATGTGGACACGTGCACATGTGTGGCTGGATGTGCATGGAGAGGTTAGAGGTTGAACCTGAGCATCCTCCTCATTTGCTGTCTGGGCTTTCTCACCAAACCCAGAGCTGCCTCTGCCTCCTCAGTCCTGGGATTGTAGGAGCCCACTACCATGCCTAGCTTTCTACACAGGTACTAGAAACAGGAATTTGGGTTCTCCTACTTAAATGGCAGGCACCTTCCTGATGTAAGTCCTCTCACCAGCCCCCACCATGCCCCAGTATTGTGCTTGAACCAGGGAACAGCAGATTCCTGCTTCTTTGATGGGTTGCCCCGCCCCCCTTATCCCCCCCCCCACACACACCAGTCTCCATAATTTGGCCATTTGTTTGATTACTGATGCTCTCAAGCTCCCACTGTAGGAAAAGCCTACAATGCCTATGTGACTCTGAACAGAACTGATGTTCTCTGGTAACTGTCAGAATTGTCAGGACTTTCAGAAGTCAAAATAAATTTAAATCCTGCCTAATAGTTTCTGAGAGAGAAAAAAAAATGCAGTGACCACACATACAAGAGAAAAATCAGAATATAAAATATCAAACAGTTTCTGCTCTCGAAAGTATAAGTCCTAACCAATGTTTTAAATCAGGGCAATGACCTTGGAAAATCTGACGCTTTCGGTCACCTGTACACAGACTAGTTAACTTCTGGTTCAATCTCTGATATAATTGAAATGAGGATCTTGCAGAGCAAATTGCTGCACTACAGTTCTAAAAAGGAATGTGTGTTTTCCCAGACTATAACAGAGTTGCTTCCAATAAGCTAGGTTCACTCAGTATTTCACTCCACAGATGTCGGAATTCCCCTGCTGGTTTTATATTTTGAGATTTGTTATACTGGAAGGACTATCCTAAGCCCCTTAACATATATTGTAAGAGAATAAGGCAGAGAGTGAAAGAAGAGGCTATCCGGTATCTGCCTCTGGTTTCTACATGCTCATGTAGTATACACACCTGTGGTATACATGTGCATATACCTCCACACATGCACCCCAAAAAATAAAACAGATACATAACATTCTCAGATTCCTATTTCTAGAAATAATTAAACGGTAACTAAAGGCTTGAAGATCTGAACATTGTTTAACGATTGGACATTCTTTTCCTATTTGTGCTATAACCTGCTGCTTCTGTCATACCTGAACCCTGGCATGTGTGAGGGGTGGTAACTATCAGAGAATTTATAATTTAACAAGACAAAAGCTGTATGCACTCCAGTGTCTTATTTAAGAAGTTCTGAAGGCCTAGGTGCACTTTGATATATTCTCTATGACTTCGAATTGCCTGATACACTCAGTATTTTAGCCACTTAAACCAGTAAATGTTAACTTTGTCTTTTTTGAAGCTGATCTGAATATCTATCCCTTGGGTCAAAAATATCCCCTAGTTCAATTTTTCAATGTTTTCATGGAACTCTCAATATTTAAGAATAACAATAAGGCTGAGGAAGTGGATGTATTAGGTGCTTGCTGGGCAAACGTGACTGAGGATCTGAGTTCCATGCACAGCACTCTCAGAAAAAGCTAGGCATGGTGGCGCTCACCTGTAAACCCAGAACTGGAGGCAGAACTGGAAGCAGGGGGATCCCTGGGGCTGACTAGCCTCATTGATAAAGCCTGGGTCCCAGAGAGAGACCCCATCAAAAAACAGGGTCTCTTTAGAGGAACAACACCTGAGATCACCCTATGTCACACACACACACACACACACACACAAACACACACACACATACATGGACACGCACACAAATAAGCTGAGCTAGTGTTGAGTCCCTGTAATTCCAGCACATCAAAGACTAGGTGCATGGATCATGAGTTAAAGACTAGTTCAAAATACATGACAAAGCCCTGCTTCAGACACATAGACTTCATCATCATCATCATCATCATCACCATCATCATCGTAATAGAAGGAGCTAATTTTAATCAAATACTATCTAGTACTAGGCACAGCTGATTTGAATAAATAAAACCATAATACAAAATGTTTCAATTCAGTAAATATGGGATAGTCTATTCACAAACTGCACAAGTAATGGGGTAAATTGCTGAAATTGACATCAAGTCATAGCAGGAAGGCAAACCTGACATTAGAAATACTGAATATTAGCAATGAAGACTTTGTCTGGGAGTGTTCACTAGAGTTTTAGTAGAAGAGTTATATCCCCACACATAGACATCAGCATAGCAGAGGATCTGAGGACAGGTCAGACCCACGAGGTTCAAGCCTCTCATAAAGGTTTCACAGAGAAAAGGCCATCCCATGCCACGCAGCTGGTGAGTACCCATGGGCTGGCAGTTGGGTTGTCTCAGATTACTATAGCTGGGGAAGTGGGAAAGATTCGAACCTTTGGCAATGTGTGTCCGCCTTTTAGAATGTGCCATCTAAAGCCCCTGATTACTTAGAATGTTAGGTAAACCACTGTGGGGACACTGAGAATTATAGATTCACAGTCACAGTAAGATGTCTGCCATTTATTTTATAGCAGCTGTGAAGAGGAGGGGATGGGGAGAGACAGACAGAGACAGAGAGAAAGAGAGAGAGAGAGAGAGAGAGAGAGAGAGAGAGAGAGAGAGAGAGAGAGAGAGAGAGAGATTGCAGCAAGTAGGCACAGCCAGAGTAGCCCTTTGCCTAAACCTAACAGGAAGAGTTTATAATCTCAGCTGTTCTCTTTAACAGACGGTTGACCGGCCGAAAGACTGGTACAAGACAATGTTTAAGCAAATCCACATGGTACACAAGCCGGGTATGTATGTTCTTCTGTTGTTTGTTTGTTTTTTTTATCAAGTCTTTATGTATTGAAGGCTGTATGCTCAACCTTTGTATAGATAGACTTTCTCCACACAAAACTTCAAGCCCGAGGTGCACTTAGTGGCCTATTCTTTTCAGCATCCCTCCTGTTCTTACTCTCCCTCCTACGTTACAGATCTGTGCCTCTGCCTTAACCACGAGCTGTCAAGAAGCCTCCTAAGAGGTGACCTTGGAGCTTGCCAGGTGTCCTAGTCTTAGCTCGCTACTACACTCGGGTATTGTCCGTTTCTACAACCCGCTGCTGCTCCCTCTCCCCCTCTGTCTGTTTCTTACCACAAGAGTGAGTGTAGGTGGATCCAGCTTCTCCTGATCCCACTCAGTACACTTGACAAGTTACCTTAAAAGCACTTAATAAAAGATCACAGTGCAGAGGACACAAGAAGCTGCCTGGGGAAGTAAGGACAGGAGACCAGCTTTGCATGTGTGACCAGGGTAGCAAGGTACACTACCTTATAGACAAGCTCGCTCTGCCCAGAGGACACGATATTTGGAACTGCCAAGTGCTGTTATGTGTTAGAAAAAAAAAATGCTTCTTTTTTTTTTTTTTTTTTTTTTGCTAGTATGTTTCTGTCATTTCTCTGATCTTCTGCTGTCTTGGTAACAAGGCAGCAGCATCTGGATTACCATGTTTATGCTTCATTTTCTAGATGAGGACACAGACATGTATAATACTCCTTACACATACAACGCAGGTAGGATGGCTTTCCTCGCTTGCTTGTGATGACCAGTCACACTCCACTGTTGGGAAGAGCCTTGGTCCCTTGTCTTGCCAATCAGACCTCATGTTGTCCATTCCTGGGATGAGAGAGAATTCTCTACTCCTTTTCTCAGAGCATGCCTAACAAAAGATTGATCCTTTCTCCTGGAATTGGGAACTAACACCATTCTGTGTCATTCATTCCTCCACTGTTGGTTATTCTCAACTTCAGGAATGTTTAGCCACAGCGTGAAGGGTCAGGGTGAGAGAACAGACTAGGACCTCAGTTACACAACAAAATAAAGATCTTTTTATCAGCAGAAAGAGTGATTACGATTGCATAAGGCTTCTCAGATATTATTCCCCCAAACAAGTAAATCCAAGTGTCTTACGATCATGTCCAGGATCTGGCTCCAGAAGGGAGCCATTCATTGACAGACGTGAGAGCCTCCCTCTCGGCTGGGCCATGTCTCTGATTCAGAGTTGCCAGTGCTTACAAAGGAAGGACTTTGCCTTTGCCATTTCCATTTGGACTTGAATGTGCTGGTTTCTTGTGGAGTGGTCTTCATGCTCGTGTGACAGACCCCTAAAACATGCCCCTTCCCATCAGTTTTCAAGACTATCACATCAAGAGATTCTACCCAGCCTTAGCCTAGGCTCAGGGTTGTATCCCCATGTAGGGTCCTTTTTACCACCCTAAGAGAAATCTCCATGAGACTTCCCCTCTCTAAAACCCAATGGCCAGCAACCAGCCCTTTAACTGGGTGATTTTGCTTCTCAACTCCAAAGATAAATGGGGGGGGGGATAAAAATAAATAAATAAATAAACATCAAGCTCTTGACCTCTGGGTTAGACCCTATATCCCCATATTATTTCAGGAAGTCCATAAAGTAAAGATTCCCTTCCTGGCCCTGGTCCTTCAAACTCACCTCATTGAGTTACCTTACAAGCTGAAGTCTGTGGAACTTAAGAAACACTTAAGAATAAACAGGTGTTGTCCAATGTCCCATCCCACGGAAAGACACATACATAGAGAAGCAGTTACACACAGATAGACTTAGCCCAAGATTTAGATGATGAGAAACTAAGAATTTTTATATACTTTCAAATATTGAAATCAGTGTGTCTCCCTGGTAATTAATAAGCTGAAGTTCGGTTTTGTTATCCTGTAAAGTCTGGGGAATTTTACCCTTCAGTCCATCAACAAAACACCTATAACCCCCACTACTTTCTACTAACCCACGGCTCTGTGTCCTGCATAATCTTCTGCTGTCCTCTACTGCCCATCAAAGCTAATCCTTCAGGTCTATAATGCATTGTCTGTCTCACCCATCCACTTCTAGCATCCTCCAATTCTTACAATGCCTTTCTCCCTTGGATTTTATTAACTGTCACCAACTCTTTCCAATCACCCACTTTTTGTAGCAGCTTTTTGAGGAGGATTCACGCTCCCATGTCCCCTGCGGGAGCAGCGCCTCGTGCATACAAGCATGTTCAATAATTGTTGGGATGCGATTAGCATATCAACTGTCACATGTCAGTATTAGGAAATATTAGCTGACATTTTAATCTTCCTCTGTACATTTACCTAAGGTGTTAGTTTCTGTAAATGAGAGGAAACCTTGCTGAGTACCTGTAAGTCTATTTTTACTAAACAGCCTGAATTTTCATTAATTCTGCAATGGCTGATGATTGACTATAATCAATACTTACGTGCAGGACAAATTGATGCCTAATTAATAAGTGATAATTCATAATGTTGATAAATTAATAAACAATGTACTACCTAATATACATATTAAAATATGTTCATTGGTAATTTTTGCAACACCACTGATGATTTTGCAGAGCCCAACTGCTAAATGCACTTTTTAAGTTACTTGTCTGTTTTGCTGGTTTTTCTTTTTCATGGTAGGTCTATACAACTCACCCTACAGTGCTCAGTCACACCCTGCCGCGAAGACTCAGACCTACAGACCTCTTTCCAAAAGCCACTCAGACAATGGCACCGATGCTTTTAAGGAGGCACCCTCCCCAGTGCTTCCCCCACACGTTCCGCCACGACCAAGAGATCAGTCTTCGACACTAAAGTAAGGCTCCTTCTCCAAAAATGGCTTCTCTCAGGATAAAAATCAAACCACAGTGGTATTCAGTGAGGCAACAGTCCAGCATTGTGGAGTGAAATATGCATGGACTTATCAGTCTGTTTTGAGCATCACTACAAAGATGATGCTGAATACTTTCAGGGAAGTCTGGGTCTCACTAGCATAATGCTCTAAATTAAACTTGATGAATCAAGGACTGTCATGGTTTGTATATGCCTGTCCCAGGGAGTGGCACTATTAGGAGGTGTGGCCTTGTTGGGGTAGGTGTGTCACTGTTAGCCTGGGCTTTAAGATCCTCATCCTAGCGGCCTGGAAGTCAGTCTTCCACTAGCAGCCTTCAGATGAAGATTTAGAACTCTCAGCTCTGCCTGCACCATGCCTGCCTGGATACTGCCATGTTCCCATTTTGATGATAATGGACTGACTGAACATCTGAACCTGTAAGCCAGCCCCAATTAAATGCTGTCCTTTATGAGACTTGCCTTGGTCACGGTATCTGTTCACAGCAGTAAAACCCTAACTAAGACAGGAATATAACGTTTATTTTTTGTTTAGTAAGCTCATAAAAGAAATAAAGAAGCCACAGATGTAGTTTATAAGTAGAGCATTTATCTGAGTACTGCAAATGACAACAAAATATGTACACACATGCACGCCCACACACATAAGCATGCACGTGCATGCGCACACATACAAAATACATTATATCCACAGGCCTTGGATATGAGACTCAGTGGTAATGGCTTGCTCCACACACTCTAGACTCTGAGTCCAATTCCTGAGCTGAAGGGGGCTAGAGTAAGGCGCATCACTGTATAATCTCAGTCTTCATAAAGCTAGGGCAAGCTTGTTCCAAGCCACTGAGCTACATAGTAACTTCCAAGCCAGAACTGGCTACACAGTAACATTCTGTCTCAAACCAAATACATAGAAAGATTAAGTAATTGAAAACAATTGCACAGATTCCCTCTGCTGCCCCACATTAGAAAGAGACTAAGCAGTTAATTTTTTTGTTTTCATGGGTTTGAAAGTTCAGGTCTTTTAAGATGCCTTTTAGAAACCAAAAGAAATTATTCTTAAATTGTAAATAAGGCATTATTTAACACGTGTCTGTGACTCATTTTCGCCTGTTATTTTAGCTGACTCTCATTTTCATTTCTCCACTGAAATATTTTTAAGTAAGCTATTCACACTCAAGTACAATTTTTATGAACACTTTTCAATTGTGTTATTTTAGCAGGACTGTGTCTAATATTTCTAATTATTTGTAATCTTTACTAAAAGCTGATCTTAATGCAAGCGCAGGGCTAAGCACTTTCATTGTATTACATTGTTGTATTCTGATAACAACCCAGTGGGACATGTTCTACATTACGGAAGAAGAAATTGGTTAGAAAATTACAATAACTTGCTCTATTTATATGGATAGAGTGTCTAAGCCAGGACTCAACCTTGACTTCTCCTAAGTCCAGAGCCTACGCTACCTCTATTGGTAATTAATAAATAGCAATAGAAAAGATGTTTATTAATGACTTTAATATTACTGGTTTTTAAGTATTTTCTATCATATATGGTCTTAGTTACCATACTGTTGCCATGAAGAAATACCATAACCAAAGCAACTCTTAAAAGGAAGCATTTAATTAAGGGTCCATTACAGTTTTAGAGGCAAGCAGACAGGCAAGATCCTGGGGCAGTAGCCAAGAGTTTTACATCCTAGTCTGAAGGCAGTAGGCAGAGAGACAGACATTGGGCTTGGCATGGGGTTTTGAAACCTCAAATCAGTAACACACCTCTTCCAATAAGGTCACACCTCCTAATCCTTCCCAAATAGTTCAACTAACTGGGAACCCAGCATTCAAACATATGAGCCTACAGGAGCCATTTTCACACAAACCAACAAACACACCTCATAAAAAATATACTCAACACCACTAAAATTTTATCATTAGGAATCATCATGTAATACATAACAAAAATAAACACTACTTGTCAAGGAATTTTCATCTTAATTCCTCTTTCCTCATGACAAATTGTGGAGAAGTACGAAGGAATGTCTTTAAGCTGAGAAATAATTATCACTGCACATTTTTTATTGTCTCCATAATTCAGACAGGACGGTTTCACACAGGTGGGAAAACCAAAGCATGAAGATGTCCAGGCTCTGCTGATGGAGCTTGCTGATGGAGCTTGCTGATTCTCTACACACCTAGGGCTTGCTTCTGCTTTTCTCTTAGAGCATTTCTGTGCCTAGCATTCCATGGAGAAAGAATATCATTCCTCTCCATGGAATCAGAATTTCCAAACTCAGAAGACAGAAGCTCCTTTCTCTCAAATATAAATAAAATAAATAAATACATATTGAATAATTCTTCCACTTCTCTGAGTTTTCTAATTTGGTTCTGGCTTCCTGGAAAAATTTGGTGTTCTGAGTCCTCCTGTGAAAATGTACTTGCCAAGAGTCCTAGACAGACGCTCTCATGGTATCAAGGCAAGGAAAAGATCAGATTCCCACGGGGGAGTATTTCAAGGCTCACACCAAGAGGTCTCCCACTCCACTTTGTTTATCCCTGTGCATGTTAGCCCAAGTGAAGCAGTTGTACTTCTCACACATGTACTCCAATGCTAGTCACAAGAAATATGGCCAAACATGCTATGTGCATTATTTCTTATCATTCTGGACCAAGGAAGTCAGATCACCAGGTGGTTAAACTGACAAAGCTTCACAGAGCACACTGCCACTTTAAACTCAGACATACATATCATTAGGGACCCAGGGGTCTAGCAACAAGTCACTCACTATTCATGTGTCTCCAAACCTCGTTTGTGAGTTTTTCCAGCCATAGTCACGCTTGCAAAAGTAGAGTAAAGGTGAACTATTAGGGATAGTTTACTATAAGTCATTTATATAAAGTTAAACATATATAGTAATTTCATACATTTTTATCCAGAGAGATGTTGTGTGAGGGTTTTGTTGTTTCTATTGTTATTGGTTTGTTCTGTGTTAATCTCTCAGGGCTCAGCGGGAAAACTGCTTGGTGATTAAGCCTGAAGATCTGAGCTGGAACCCCAGAACCTCTGGTGGAAGGAAAGCATTGATTTCCAAAAGTTTTTCTCCTGCATGCACACAAGCATACACATATACACACAGACACACTAAACCATTAAATTTCTAGTCAAATTAACTTTGGGAAATTGACCATGGTAAGATCTCACAGGGCTTTCAGTGTGGGTTGCTGTTCATTTACAGGCATGACTGGGACCCTCCAGACAGAAAGGTGGACACCAGAAAATTTCGATCGGAGCCAAGGAGTATTTTTGAATATGAGCCTGGGAAGTCATCCATTCTGCAGCACGAAAGACCCGTAAGCACTTGTCATTGATCCAAAATCCAGCTGGCTAGGCCACAGGGGTCCCCAAGCAAACCTGAATCTCATCCCATTTTATTTATTTGACACTGTCGAGAAATTGTGTTTATTTTTAGTCATGATTTGTATATCTTGCCTCTGAATTGAAAGAGGTACTTTAGTAGCATATATATATATATATATATATATATATCTATATATATATATATGTATATATATATATATATACATATATATATATATATATATATGTACAAATACAAGTCTCATTGGCTGAGCCTAATTACAGAACTCATACACGAAATCCTTAATTGCTATTCTGTCTTCCCAGTGAGAAAACTCATGACTCCATATCCCTGATGTACAGGCAGATGAATCCCTTGACTCCTATGTTGGTTTCCTACTATTCAGCTCACTGAAGAAGCAATTTTCCCCCAACACACTTCCTCTAACAAGTTGTTTGATTGGTTTTTATTAAATCCCTCTCAGGTTACCAAGCCTCAAGCTTCCTGATTGGTTACCACTTTAATGGATCAAGATTGTATTGTTCTTTATAGTCCTTTTGGCTTATCTTAGTGACTAACTAAACAGGGTGTGGGCTTGGAAAAGGCCACTTGCCTCTGTTACGCTAACAGTGCTTCTTCCTTGGCCCTCATCCTTATTTGCCTCCCTTGTTTCTTTCTCAGAGATCAGTATCCTCAAGACCTCTTTAAAACTCTGCAGTTCCTATGTATGTCCAAACTCGATTCCAGATAAAACGTGTTGGTGTTTTCTCTGTGAGCTCTTCCGGCTCACACACGAGCATCACACTAGTACAGAGACTGCAAGGTCGGCCCTGAGATTTAGTTGGACAGCCTTGACCATGAGTAGTCTTGATTTAGAGTTGGAAACCCTGTGTTTTGTGGCTGTGTTCTTGAGTATGTTCAAAGATCTTCCAATCACGCAGTTCAACTGCCTTTCTTCAGAGAATCCAAATTTCTTTGCATGGTAAGTTTGCAACAGAAGAGACTGAAAATGAGGGGAACACTACTGATTCCAGGCTCTGGGTTCTAACCCATTTCCTAAATTGTCTGTTTAAATATCAAATAAGTGAGATTGCCAAAGCAAAATTCAATGGAATACAATATGACTCCTGAAAAAAAATGTGTTATATTAAATTATAGTAGAAATCTAATGATTTGTGAGGCTCTTGGGATTATGGTATGACTAAAGACAAGAAACCTCTTAAATGGCCAAATAGAAGCACATCTAAAGAATTCCCCTTGTTAGAGATCATTTATGGAGTCCCCTCATTGTGGTTGATATTTTCACAAGCCTTTGGGTGCAAGCTTTGAAGGCTCTGTTTTAAATGACTCATTACAATGATAGTAATAACAGCAGATATATCTACTACATGCTAGGCTCTATAACTAGTAATAATTTCTCTATCTTATGGAGCCTTCCCAGCAAGCCTATAATGCAGATGCACAAACTTCCTACTTTACAGATGAAGAAAATGAAGCAGCATCCACCAAAGGCCACATGGACACGTAGCTAGCATGTGCTCCAACCAGCTGAGCCAAGGCAAATGTTTGCTTGGTGTACTTCGCAGGAAGCCTTTAGTTACTAGTACTCACCATAATTTATTTGGTTGTTTTCATGTATAGTATAATTAGTGGCTAACCTATCATAAGTTCATGTTACTTACTTTACCAGAGAGCTGGGTTCAGGGTAACTATAATACAAGACGAGTGTTCTTGACTGGTCTCAGAAAATAGGGAGGTCAGAAGCCATGGGCGTGGGCATAGATTCTGCTATGGATAAACCTCTTTAGCCACAGGAAAAGATGAATGGGAGGAACTAGTAACAGGAAGGAAATGAGAACACACAGCGCACATTTTTATCCCTCCTAAGCCATTCTGTTGGGAGCCAGAGTTATGGCAAATGATATAAGAGAGTCAATGATATAATTTTGACCAAGCCTGGTTAAATCATTGTTATTTTAGAGTGAGACTATTACCTTTTTAAAAAAATCAATCCTGAATTTATCCCACTTTGAATCGGAACAAAAAACACAAACAAACAAACCAAAGAGCTACTTGGGCAAGGATATCTGAGCCCAGCTATGTGTCTTAAAGACTCAGACTATAGGAGAGACGGCAGGTTTGCTAACTGAGAGGACATACCAGCACATGAATCTCAAGGCCCTATGACTGCATCTTCTGAGTTTTTACTCAGGTATTTTGAGAGCATCCCTTTGTTCTCTTTGGTTCAAATTTTTGAAAATTGTAGACAACCCCTAGGCAATCCTATGCTGTTCTCCTCGATTTCCAGCAACCCTGTCAGCTTCACTATATTCTTGGATTCCCCTTACTCTCTATGAACTTAGCATTGCTACCACAAGGAGAAATGTCATGATCCTTCCGGTCCTCAATTGCTCTTTGTCTGGGTTGATGTAGCCCACATTCACTTCCCTGATTAGCTAATCCAATCACCAGTTGTCTTAAAAGCCTGCCACTCCTACATTTTCTCCTGACTTTTCCTTGTCCCTGGAGCAGAACCTAACTCCCTGGATATAATTTATAAAAACTAAAAAACAACAACAAATAAAACCTACCCAAATCCTGTGATTTCACCCTCCCCTGCCAGCTACACAAAGGGCTTCAGACCTTCAGTCTTCTGGGGAATCACTCCACAAGACCCCTCCTTCCACGTGGAAGGTTTCACCAGCACCCTCCCCAGTTTTACCAGAGGCACACATCACCTAGGGGCCTGCTCGCCCTCAGCAGTGGGTTTGTAGCTCTTCTTGCTGGATACCTCCAGTTCCCACTTTGACATACTTACCACGCACCTGACCATCTGTCTGGGTTCCTCACTACATCTTAGGCTTCCTGAAAATGGACACCTTGACTGACAGAGCATCCTCTATCTTCCATACCCAACTCAGTGCCTGACATGTGGTACCTATGCAGTAAATAACTCCTTGAGTGACTAAGTGAATGGAACTGATACCTTTGCAGTTGATGGATAAAAAATGGTGAGAGATTGAATCTATCTAGGGGGCCCAGTGAGTCTCCATCAAGACACACAGATGGAATTCACAAATAACTCTACCTCAGTTTCTATGAGGGAGCAGTTCTGCTTGAGCAGAAATCCTCATGTCCGGAGGTGGGGAGATACTGCCTTCATCCTTAGTAATTGAAGCCATATCTATTTATATTCTTTACCAGGAAGAAAAAAATAAATGCATTTCTTTGAAGCTCATAAATATTTATTTGATTATAAATTTCAGTGCTGACTAAATGGGCCTAATGTCTGATCCAGAAGAGGGCTTGAGATCACCAGAAATTTGCATTTAATGACTTGATCCACAGATCAGACTACACTTTCAGCTTACAGACTCCATATGACAATCATACCAACTTTACTGGGGTAATATTAATAAAAGCATAACAGATCATCTGAATTGGATACACTTGTAGATCAACCATGTTAATTGTCTTTATGCTTAATAAAGTAAAAAAAAAAAGATCCACAAAGACATTGTTACATTTGATACAATAACTGTGCTTACATCTAATAATAACCAAAGGAACACACACTGGATGAGTAGAAAGGCAATTTAAACGATCAGAGAATATGGTTTGTCAACAGAAATTACTACTCAGAGTTGAAGCTATAAAAATTTTGAGAGGTTATAGCTGAAAGTTTGACCCCTGAAGAATTATCCCATGATGCAATAGTATTTTCTGTGAAAACAATCAGAAAGCATAGCAACCCCTGCCTTGAAGCTTAAAAGTCAATGAGCATTTACAAGAACAAACTCCCAGGTCCTCTGGTGTGTTAACAGACAGAAAGTGTGCATCCAACAAGAAGGCTGGGAAGCAGCAAAAGGCTTTTATGTTGGGAAAACTTTAAAAACCACACATTCTAGGGAGCTTTTAAGAGCAATCACATGTGAGCCCTGGTGTTAGCGTATCTTAAGCACTTCTCACACCGGAGAAAGACGGTTTGTGTGAGCAGAAGGTTGCTAGGCTTGTGAACTGACAGAAATAAAACAGAATGAGAGAGACATCCATCCATCAGGGGCTGCTCTCCTGCCATTGCAGGGATGACACTGAGAGGTAGCTGTCCCCTGGTGGATTCCTATAAAGAGGAGTTTCTCAGATGTGAGGGAACTGAGGAAGCGATGAGAGAGATCCTATGCCTATGCTTCTGTTATCTGACAGTGAACATACGTGTCACTGACTGTGGCAGTGTTTCTGAATCCTTTAGGAGTCGTTCTGGATTGCTAGAGAACATATTCAATTAGTGTATAACTACAAGAATTGAACTAGACCGCTCTAGATCTGGCATTCCTCTTTTCTTGGGGGAGGTCTTACCTTTTGGGGAGTGTCTATTTGTTGAAGGTTATTTTGCTGATGGTGTTTGTTTTATGCTCTTTTGAGACAAGGTCTTTCTATGCAGCCCAGGCTGATTCCAAACTCACCATCCTCTTCCCACTAGCTCCTAAGTACCTGAAATTCAAGTGTGCACCAGCACATCCAGCTGATAAAGCAAAGGCTCTGCTCAGATGCATACCACTCACAGGATTCCAGAATTGTCAGGATGACTTGCTGCTATTTGGGGACTATCTCCTTGCACAGATTTTTAGCAAGTTGCTCACCATGACTATAGACTGAAGCTTTAATAAATAGAACCTTTTCTGTTTATTGAAATCGCTATTTTCACATTGGAACAGAATGATACAGATTTCTACTCCCAGATTCTATCCCCAGATTCTATTACAGAAATGTATCTCCACAAAGGAAAATGTCATTTTGTTTCTGATTTTCTTTTGTTTGTTTGTTTGTTTGTTTGTTTTTGGTTTTTCAAGACAGGGTTTCTCTGTATAGCCCTGGCTGTCCTGGAACTCACTCTGTAGACCAGGCTGGCCTCGAACTCAGAAATCTGCCTGTCTCTGCCTCCCAAGTGCTGGGATTAAAGGGGTGTGCCACCACCACCCAGCAGTTACTGATTTTAAGTCAAGGTGACAACATTAAAAAGCTTGTCTATTTGTTTAGTGAGTTTGCTGCCCTCTAGTGTTCATAGTGTTTTGAAGCAACTTTTTTTTTTCCCCGCCTTCTAAGACTGGTTCTCAACCTTCCTAATGCTATAGCCCTTTAATACAGTTCCTCATGTTGTGGTGACCCCAACCATAAAATTATTTTCATTCCTACTTCATAATTGTAACTCTGCTACTTTTATGAATTATAATGTAAACATCAGTGTTTTCCAATGGTCTCAGGAACCACACAGGTTGAGAATCACTGCTCTGACAAGTCCCTATCTACCCTGAGCAAAATAAAACACTCTAATTGAGTGTAGGTCATCCCGACAGTAGCTGAAAGCCAAACTTTTAAAAGTGAGAGTTTATAGACACTAAACATCCAGCAATAGAAACTATGGAGTTTGGGAGAATCCAAGGTTTCTCTTCTGTTAAGGAGATAGTATAGCCCTCTGAACTATACAAGAGCTACTGACCAACCCTCTCTAATGTTAACTGTTCAAGGGTAAAGGCTCCTATGAAGAAGTTATGCACTGCAGCTGGCATTGTCTAACAACTGGAGCAAAATAACATTTCATCACTAACAAAAATCTTAACACTCCTATAAATAGTGGATCAAAAAATTTAATTCAATGGAAAGCAGTTATAAACTTACATATTTTTTCTAAGCCAGTGGGAATTGGTTGCTGGGGGTGGGGGATGTTCTTTATAACAGATCTCACTGTTAATTTTAAAGTAGAAACCAAAAGTAACATTGACATAAGTTAGGATAAATGTCTCAGAGCTTCTGCAGCGTGCTCTCATTCTCACTGAGTAACCTCCTCAGTTGTTAGTGATGGCAAAAACAAGCTCATAGCCAAAGGCTAACTACTATAGATGATATTAACTACTAAAAGGCCATTTTCAGTGCTCGACCAACAGTGACAAATTTTGTGTACACATGCACTCCTGTATGTGCCCATCCACATACCCACTTCAGGATGCCATCAAGCACTGTAAAAGTGTACCACTATGAAGTGTTGTTTGCTCTCACCATTGGTCACAAGCAACTCCCAGGGTTTTTCTGCAGTCTTTGTAATCACCACCATAAATATACCTCAGAAGCATGGTCTCTGCAGTGTTTTCTTACGGGGCCAACTTTTCTATCATTGAAATGGTAATGAAACACTACATTAGTATGTAATGATATGTAATAGTGTATAATGATATGTAATAGCGTGTAATGATATGTAATAGTGTGTAATAGATGTACTAATGATGAAACATTACAATGTTTCCCTGCTACTAAGCTCAAGACAAAATAGTGTCTTTTTTTAGCATGATATATTCAATGTCCCCAGCACTATGGGGTTATGGAGCTATTCAGAGGGAATCCTCGCGCTCCTTAAGAATTCTAAGGGAATAATACAGGATGAAAGTGGTGGCTGTTTAGCAGCTCTCCTGGATGATATATTGTGGGCTTTACAGTTTTTCTCTTGGTTGGCATGAATGACTTTTAGCGAACCAAGTAACTTTCCTTAGAATTTTTTCTGACTTAATATATTATACAATGCAACTATACACATTTCATTAGGGACATGAGTTCTATTCAAAGAAGTAGCCATGGATACGTTCAGTACTATGAGCATCATTTTGTAGATAAGCAACCACCATATCTCCAGTGATACCATCTAGCCTGGTATGTATTGTAAAAAAAAAAATTAAAGGTTAATGTTAACTCGGTTAAGGAAAGGCTGTGTTCTATTGCTAAAGTAATTGTGTTTGTTTTTTCTCAACTGTTTATGTTGCCATCCCAAGCATTTTCAGTCTTAAGCCCAACATTCATAAACCACTTGAGATGAAAGTCGTTACACCCCATACTCTTCCTCCCCCACCCACTCTGCTAAGCCTAATTTCACATTCACCCTCCTTTAGCTCTAAGTCAACAGGGGGGAGACTGAATCACAAAGTGAGATATTTCTTCACTTTTGAAAAGACTTGTGACTTTCAGATCTTTGCTATGGTGGGCCATTCATAAGAAATCTGCTCTCTGCGGTCCCCTAGGCCATAGCCCTGTCCTGAAATGTTAGTCTCCGAGACTAACATCAGCTGGTCCCCTCCAGGTTCCATCAAGAGCCCCTGTCTAATGAACCAGTGTTTCCTCACCCCTCTCTCTTACAGCCCCCTCTCCCAACAACTCCGACACCTGTTCCCAGGGAACCCAGCCGGAAGTCTCTCTCAGTGTCACCCTCAACAGATGGCCTGCGTAGCCCTTCCCCTCCGCCCAGGAGCTGTGTCCCCGCACCCCGTCCGAGTGCCCCAGATCTCTCTCCCACCCGGGTGAGCGCCTTCCTTCTTCACCTTCTCTCATGCTGTGGGGAAGCTGAGCTCAGCATTTTTTCTGAGGCTAAGGCAAGGTCAGATCCCTGTCCCTCCTGGGGTTCTTCCTCCTCCCAGACCCTACTTCTCTCCCAGACACCCTCATCTCCACCATTCCATGCTCCAGCCTGCCCCATCTGCAGCGTCTGCTCAATGCAGACCATTGCTGCCACTGTCAGTTGCCAGGGACTTCCGGGACAACGGACTGAGCAGTCCAGGTGAACCCGTTGGTGCCTTGGTTGGACATACCAAGGACTTCACAAAATGGTGTGCCATCATCCCCATTGTCACGGCCAGGATAGCGTCCCTAAGTTCATGCATCAGGCTAAAGAACTAGCAATGGTGGCAATAGGGGCCCCAGTGACGTCATGACCCTCATTTGCATATCCGCACTTTACTTCACTTCCTCCATTCTGTCCTGTTGAGGTTTGTTGGATGAGTCCGATGCATGTTTGCGTGTGGATGCGCGCGAGTTTTCATACCACACAGCATTATCCCTCACTTCGCTCAGTGTGCCTTTTCCTCCCCCTTTTCCTTCACATCTGCTCTAGACGGGTCGCATAAATCCAGCTGACATAGATTTAGAAAATGAGCCCTGGTATAAATTCTTTTCAGAACTGGAGTTTGGACGTCCGGTAAGTGAGGCTAGACAATTCCTATAAGACAAATAGGAGAATGTTGTTTGATTTTTAAAGTGTATTAATTGTCACAAGGGAGATGGTGTCATGTCGAAAACAGAAGCTGGATGAGTTAAATACACGTGCTCCAGCTTTGTGTAAATTCGCTTTGGTAACAAATGCCTAAATGTGTTCATTGGCTTCCTGTGTGTGTGGTTTTTTTTTCCAAATCATGTATTAGAATCACATCTAATTAATTACAAATCTAGCATGCTGGGGTAGTTTCTGGTGTGGAATATTTAGGTCATTAGCACAGCTTTAGGGGAGAACTGTATGGTGTACAGCACATTTTGGGCTAGTTTAACAAGTACCTTGCTATCTACAAGAATGACAGTTACTATAGTTCTTGTTGCCTGAGAAATTATAATGCCCTTGCGGAGTGCTTGGACCCTAACTCAATGACTTGATCTTCCTGATACAACTCCTCCCATGAGAAAATAGACCAAAAAAGTTAAAGAATTTGCCCAAAATAGTCACTAATTAAACCTAAGCCTATCATACAACAATGAAAATCTTTGGGCGGTTGTCTCTATAATGTATTACCAGACCATTCCCACAGTAAAATGATTCTTTGAATATGAGAGATAACAAAAAGAGTGAGGTGAAAAGCCCTGTGGACTCTCTTTTGTACTGTCTTCCTCATGAACAACCAGCAGGTCTCTGTTCCCTAGAGTCCCATGCTGAAAGCCCCTAGTTTGGCCCTTGTGGGATCTGACTAATCTGTTTGCAACAGCGTCAACTCAGGTTTCAAATAACTTCCCTTAGTCCTTCAAGCTGTATCAGGGAACTGTCTGTGACATGCATTTTACAACCCCTAAATTGTTAGATAGCATATCACTTACACTGACCAGCAATATTATTGGAACACAGAGTCTGTTCTTTCTTATACCATGTCATGTAAGGATTTATAAATACGCAGATCACCTATTCCTTACTGGATGGCTGTGTGAGTCGCTTTTATACATTAGCATGCAGCCTTGGTTAGCCTCATTATATGTTTTATTGAACTGTATCAAATGTGACTGTAAATAAATATTAAACAAAGTTTCCTGGCATTCCTAGTACCCAATAAAAGGATCATTTCCTCCTGTTTTTTTCTGACATGTCCTCTTATTATTTTAAATGTATTTTATTTCACTGGGAAAATGCTCTCCTTTATATATTTTATATATGTTTTGCTTTATATATTTGTTATTGCTGGGTAGTTTCTAGAGACTGTACCAATTTCTGTGTTGAGCCCAAATTGCCAGCACTTTCCATGATCCTTCTCAGCCACACAGGGTGGCTCACCAGCATGCTTTCCCTTACCCCTCCCATGTCTCCTGAGTAGACCTTGCAATCTGCTGTGGCCAAAGGCTCGGAGTACTGATTTTGATTTGACAAACTGAGCTTACAAATCTACTAACTGAACACAGGCAGCTTTGCGCTGTGCTTGAGGATATTTGCCAGCATTGCACTCCTGCTCCTTGACTGCCAAGTTGCTCCGTCCCTGTCACTCTTTATGTGTACCTGATGCTATCGTCACTCGGTTTCTAACTGTTGTCACCTTTTCCACATGTTCATTACTCGCTGCATTGACTCTCCTCCATCCCATCTCTCCACCTCTGCTTCTGTGGTGCATCTACACCCAGCCTCCTAAAAAGTCTCTGGATTATGTTCAAGATCATTCTTCTGGTGTGTCCAATGAGGTAAAGACAAATTCTTCTCTCCTTCCAGGTCCCCCCCACCCCCTTGTTACTGTCAACCTGAATATCTGTGTTGTTATAGTTCACTGTGTCGTTCCAAGTGGTTCTGAAAACTCTCTTCGGATCACAGTGTTGCACTGTAGTAGCATTATCTAGACTGGGCAAAGGGGTTGCCAATTTCTGAATTCTAGGTGATGAGTCTTCCAACTGTTAATTCTAGTTAAAATACTCAGCAGCATGAAAGTTTAAAAAAGAAACATTTGGCACTGTATTAACTACCCATTTTTTTTAAACCAAGCAAACAAAGTACTACTACAGAGCTTCTAGAAGCCACTTTTTTGAAATTATGCCTAAAAGTACAGACTCAAGAGATTAGATTCTTGGACCATGGTGATGGCTCCTTAGGTTAAAGTCTTTGTTGTGAAAGCCCAATGGCCTGACTTCCATTTTTGGAACCCAGGCACTGAGGATGAAGAGCATCCCTCACATGCTGTGACAAGTGCACTGTGCAAAGTTTAGATTCTTTACATGATCAGATACTTATTGCTTATATTTTTCGAAATGTTATTGTTGTTCCTTAGTTTTCCTGAATGCTCATAACTTGTGGATTTGACCATCTCATTCAAGAATAGAGATGGCGAATACCCGACATGTGTGTTCCCAGTTCCACCCCTTGACAGGCATCACTAATCTTTCTTGGCAGTATAGTCCAGGTAGCCATTACAGCAGATAGTCATCACTGCCTCATGGGATAAAACTTAGTTGAGATCTCAGCTGAAAAAAAATGCTTACGAGTAGGGCTGGAGAGATGGCTTGGTTGTTAAGAGAACTTGCTATCCTTGCCCAAGACCTGCCTTTGTTTCCCAGCACCTACGTGCTGCTCACAACCATCCACAATTGCACTTCCAACGCACTCTTACGGCCCCACCAGCGTCAGGCACACACATGGTGCACAGACTTGCATGCAGGCAAAACACTCCTGAGCTAGAAATAATAATGCACATGACATCAGCCAGGTGAAGAACTTAGGCCAGGCCACGTGAGTTTTCACCTGGAAGAGGAAAAGATAGTATGAAAAGGACCAGGAAGGATCCTAAGCCAAACTTTGCCCAAAGAAACCAGAAGACTATTTTTGAAAAGCCCTTAGAAGACAAGCAGGAATGCCATTGTCTTGCTTGCTCACTGACCTGTAAAGGACTCCCACAGGTGCTCTCAGAAGCAGCATAGAAGGTAGAAGTGCATACAACCAACTGATTGTGTTACAGTGGTTGCTGTGTGTTCTCAAGTAAATACTACACTTAATACCTCACTTCATTGCGAAGCCCCTGTTTAAGGTGCGTGGAAGAGAACAGTCAAGAGCTCACGTTAAGGGTGGTTGTCCCAACACAGTGGAGGGGACAGATTGCAGGCATGGAGTTGAAAGGAGAAATAGTCAAATTTCCAAAAGTTCAAACTGCAATCAAAAGTGTAGATCATATAGTAAGTGATGTGTGTTAAAACAGAGAAAGGCTGGGGAAAATTCAAATAAAAAATAAACTCTGGTAAATGGGAATTTTTTGAGGTATTGAGTTTGGTAATTTTCCAAGTAATTTTATAGCAAGGTCAACTCTCTAAAGAGAATTAAATAAAACAAGCAATACTATTCTGTACGTTTTGATATCATTTCAGCGTACGAACAAGCTAAGAATTTATTTTGAAACTTAAGTCTGTCAAAAATTTTTCTCATTGTTTTCCACACCAAAACTATGTTACTGTGTTGAAGGACTTTCATTAAATTTATAATCCAGTTGGGCGAAGGGATATCTTTATCATATTGATCATATCTTTCCTTTTTAAGTTCAGTATGATGTATTTAAATAAATTAATCAGCATTTTATTAAAAAAACAAATATGTATACATTTTTTCCTTGGGTATTTTTAGCAGGTATTTCTGGATTTTTTTTTTCAGAGTAGTTGGTTCATTGAGAACTGCAACAGGATTTAGACGTCATTTTCAATTCATTGATTTTTTTTTTTTTTAGTTAAGAAAAGTGGAATGGAATAACTTTAAAGAATACACTTGTCTCCTAAGATGGCTGCTGAGAGGACAAATCACTGATTGCTCAGCCTTCATTTCAGAGCTATTTCCTTTAAACCACACTTTTTGCCATCCCCAGTATTTAAAGCTCAGCAATTTTATAAACAATTTTATTTTAGTTATTTAGTTTGTATAAAATGGGTTCAGGAAATTAATACCACACACTAATTACTGAGGGCAGAGATGGGGAAAAACTTAATGCACCTTTAATGTTAAGGTAGTGGCCAAAACACTACATTTAAAAAAGCAGTGATAGCAGTTGAGCTGTGTGTTTGTATCTTTTGGGAACTTAGAGATAGGAGTGACCTCAATAGCATGTTAACCTGGGTGGCCTTCCAGAGTGTAAGAAGAAAAACTCCCATAAGATATTTAGATTCTGTATTTTAAAACATTTGTATGAGATTTCTAGCAAAACCTGTAAATTATTAGGTAATACCTAAGCTATAATGTATCAAGTACCTGGTTTTATCAAGTATATGCTATGAATGACATATTTACATTAAATCAAATATAACTGAGACATTTGTTTATAAATGGCAGAAGGAAACCTATATGTTGCTAATTTGAAACACTTCTTAAAAAATAATTAAGAACCTGCTTGCAGAGTTTAATCAATAATTACTTAGCAGAAATGATGCTTTAATGTCTTCCAGTCCATGAAATGTCCTTCTATCACATTAAAACAGTCGTCCTGTTCAAATGAGGGATAGATGGTGTTGGGTGAAATGGGCTAGTTCTTTTTCTGGGGACTCTTTTTTTTCAGATGGCATATCATAATTATCATACAAGGTTTTGCCTTAGTTATTAATCTAATTTTTATTATTATGTTATAATTGACAACTGAACTTTCTCTCATGATACATAAAATTAAAGCCTGGTTTAATGGGCCAGCAAGATGGCTCAGTTATGACCTGAATTTGATCCCCAAAATCCATATTGTGTAAGAAGAAAATTGATTTCAAGTTGTCTTCTGACCTTCACACATATAGCATGGTATACATATATCATGGCACATGTACATGCATGCGTACACACACACACAATCCCTGTGTTTTTAAAAGTCCTTTTAACCTGGTTTTAACTTGTTTGGAATATTAAAAAGAAGAACAAGGAAGGATCATTGCAGTTTGTCTTAACTCTGAAACTCTATCAATTCTCATACAATGTTTTATTTTATACTATAATAGTGTCTACATTTACCATCCTTGCAGGTTCATATTTCTGATCTTTCTAGGGATATTCTGACCCTTTTGATGGTCAAGTGTGTGTCAGGTTGTCCAATAAAACTTGTGACCTACAGATGCTGCTGCTCTGACGCTCCCTAAGACCACCTCTGCAAACATGCAGAATTCCTTCATATTATTTTACTTGGTTTATTTCTTCCATATTATGCTTTCCTTACTTTCTAGTATCCAATTCAGACAAATTCAAATAATCATGTAAACTTAAGAACATAGCAGAGCCTGAGAACATAGGAATCCTAGAATTTTCTAAGAGGTACAAAATAATAAATATTCTTATTCTGTCTGAAACAAAAAAGTAATATTTTCATGCCAATAGATATTTTTGTTTGATTATGGGTAAGGTTCCATTCTCAATCAGTAATAGACAATTAAAGTAAAATATTAGTATATAAGGTTGTCAGAGTGATCTACATAAGAATCATAAAGTTATAACCTAGTTCTTTGATTGGGAAACTGTTAGCATTTGTCAGTTAATGGAAAAGAATAGTAGAAATTACTTATAGTGGAGTCTTTGTTTCATCTAAATAGGTTTTTAATATTCCGATAAAAGATTTTTATAAATAGGAATTTAAGATAAATTCAAATTGCTCAATATTTATAAACCTGTACCTGGCTGAAGTCTCAGGAAGTTTAGGGTGATTTCAAATCAAATTCTGTGAGCTTTATGTGACATATGCCCTTATAGAGGAAAGAAAGACTTACTAAGCTTGGCTTGTATGCTACCTGGCACTAACAATGAAACTATAAGGCACTTTATGATTAATAAGGATTTAAAGATGACTGTAAATATTTTCTTACACAAAATAAAAGCCAGTCCTTCATGTAGAAAGCTGTTACTTAGCAGTTGCTGAGAGCCTGAAGTTAAAACTGAAGATACTGTTAGCCCTTCGTTCAGTCCAGTGTTTCTGATGATAATGTTACTGATTTTTTTTCTTCTTGATGAAATGAATGTCTTGGTTGTGTTACGTCACATAATGCAGTGTGGTCTATTAAAAGATTACTCAGACACAGTATCTCTTTGGAAAGACATTTTATCTCTTTGGAAAGAATCACAATAAGTGATTCTTTTAATTGCAGTATTTTAAAGTATCTGTTTCAGAATGTGTAATTCAATGATGACAAATCAGTAAATTTGCTATGGTAATTCTTTACATGGAACTACTGTTTTATGTCACCAGGTCTCCGTCTATCAGTCCTCCATAGACAGAAGCTTGGAAAGACCCAGCAGGTAAGGATCTGGTGACATTATATTAACCGAATATTGTATGCCAGCAATTGCTTTTTCAGTAGTCACCTTCCCTGCTGGAATACTCATTTCATTAAATGACAATTTAACTCTCATTCTTATTTTAAGTACCAGACCTCATGGTGTGTATTCAATCACTTGTGAATGCTTTTCTTAAAGGATGCCTTACTCAAAACTATGATTAAAAAAAATTCCTCCCTTTCTTTATAAACCATTAAGACCTTTTTCCACAACTGCATGAAAGGAATTTTTAACAGTTTACTTACCGATTAGATTTTTTTTAATCACTCATGATTTAAATAGAAAATACGGGAATTCCAGCCTAAGGTTCTTCTGAACACATTAGGAAAGCAAAAGAGAATTCTTGAGGTAAAAGAGACTTGTTTTGCTAGATGACTTCCTTCTCTGTGGTCCTTTCCTCTGTTTCAGCATCTTCTTTCTAGATTGATTCATGTTGTCAGAACTATTTCTTATGTATATAAAAAACACATGATTCAAATAGAAATCATAACACTGAATTCCCAAAACAATAAGTTCACTGCACAGAAATTTGTACTTTATAGGTTGATTATTAACACCAACACACACACACACACGCAGAGAGAGAGAGAGAGAGAGAGAGAGAGAGAGAGAGAGAGAGAGAGAGAGATCCAACCTACATTTGTACGTTTGCATCAATTCTTTCAAAACTGCCAAGTTCTAGAGTCCATGAAGATGTTATTAGATGTTATTTCTTAGGTAAGTGGGTGAGTAAAGAAACTATGGTACATCTATATAATAGAATATTGTTCATCAATAAAAAGAAATAAGCTATCAAGAGGCCAAAAGATATAGATAAAGCTGGAGACACAAAACACTTGGTAGAGTGTTTACCTTGCATGTATGATACACTTGGTTCAATCCAAAAGGCCACAATAAAAATTACATGTGGTGACACTGGGCTATAATCTCACCACTCGGTAAGTAGAGGCAGGACAGTCAGAAATTCGAGGTCATCCTTAGCCTCACGTCCAGATGACATGAGATGCTTTTACAAAGTAAAACATTTAAAGAGTATTTGTTTTATTTGATGTGTATGTATGTGCCCAAGTGCATGTGTGTGCATCAGCTGCATGCAGGTGTCTGTGAATGCAAGAAGAGGGCATTGGAGCCCAAGGAACTGGGCTTCCAGATAGTTGTGTTAAAACATGTAAATACCTGCCAAGTGTGGATGCTGGGACAGCCATCTCTCCAGCCCCACAAAATAATTTATTTTTTAATGAATGTGGATTTTTAAAAAAACATTACTACATGGAAGAAAGCAATCTGAAATGATTGCATATTGTGGTTCCAACTGTGTAACGTTCAGAGTAGGTGGTCTATGGAGACAAGAGCTATGACTTTTAGAAAACATAAAGACAAAGGGACGGATTAGAAAACGGTACCCAAGGGACCTTCTGTGGGAGTAAAATCTGCTACAAGGCATATTCGTAATGGACAGTATTTCATTACACATTTATAAACCCCTAAAGTATATCATGGATGACAAGAACCCGATATGTAAAAGATAGACTTTGAAAGATGATATGTCCAGATAGGCCACTAGCTGTTACAAATCTCCATAGAAGATATGATGATAAAGATGTTTAAAAAGAAAGGGGTGGGTACAGAGGAGTTCTCTGCTCAGTTGTCTTTTGACAACTGCAGAGGATTGGTTCCTAGGACTCACCAAGGATACTAAAATCTACTGACTCTGAAAGGCTTGGTACTTACAGATAACCTATTCCTAGCCTCCGATATACTCTGACATATGTATAATGCCTTGTGCAACACAGATGCTATTAAAAAGGGATGTTGGGACTAGAGAGAAGCAGCGATGGATAAGAGCACTGGCTGCTCTTACAGAGGTTCCCAGCCCCCACATGACAGTTTACAACCATCTGTAACTCATGTTCCACGGGACCCTATGCCTTCTCCTGACCTCCATGGGCACCAGGCACTAAGTGTAGTACACAGACATATATGCAAGCAAAACCCTCATAATACATAAAATAAAAATGAGTAAATCTTAAACAAGTGGTTGTTTTAATGGATTACTTGGGGGGATAATAACACAAGTTTGTACATGTTCAGTAACAGTTGAGTCCTTAATATTCCCTGTGTGAAGTTGCCTTAACCCATGGATATGAAGAGTCTGTACAATCCAGTCAGATAGTCTGCACTTGAAACTTCCCTTTTAAAAATGAGATCTGTGCATTTTAAAAAGGTTGGTCCTAAAGAATGTATTTTTGAATGGAGAGGAATAGGCTTCTCACTATGCAGCTTTGTGAGTGTGAGGTTAGGTGCCATGTTATTGTCTAATTCGATGATCGTTGGTTTTCTTGTGCACATGTTAACCTCTTCCAAAACCAACCAAACTGATTCCATCTATTATCAGCTCTGCAAGCATGGCCGGTGACTTTAGAAAACGGAGGAAGAGCGAACCTGCAGTGGGCCCACCCAGGGGCTTGGGGGATCAGAGTTCGAGCAGGACCAGCCCCAGCCGGGCAGACCTCCCAGGATCAAGTTCCACCTTTTCGAAGTCTTTCATTAGCTCTTCTCCTTCCTCTCCCTCGAGAGCACAAGGTGAGCCATGATAAATGAACACCACTTGCGAGTTCTCAGTTTAGCCCAGAGTGTGGGGACAGGCCAAGCCCATGCCCATGGCCTGTGCTGTCCTCACTTGTATTATCCTGAAGCAAATACAATTTCCCAGCAAAGCATTGCTCCTACCCAGTCCAATTAAAACTGGCAAGCCACTTGAGTGTCTTAAAGAATACTTTTAATTCCAGCACTGGGGAGACATAGACAGGTAGATCTAAGTTAGTTCAAGGTCAGCATGGTCTACAGCATGAGTTCCAGGACAGCCAAGGCTATTCAGAGAAACCCTATCTGGGGGAGAAAAAAAAAAAAAAGAACTCAGACTAACATGCTAACATGTTACTATTTTCTCAGAAACAGAGTGAGTTTATTATTATTTTCTTTAAAACTCCAAAGTATTAAATAGTTTGTTGTCATATTTACAGAAAAGGCAAGTAATAGGCTTTTACATAGTCATATGTTCTAACGTTATTATAGATAACTAATTACTTTGTAGAATAAGAATTAAAAATAGCAACAGAAAAAATATGGCCTGAAACATACAATGGGATGCTTTAAATTCTAGACTAGAAAGTCATCTATTTAAGTCATGCCTTTGGTCAGTTACTCTATCTTGTTCAACCTCCATTTGTACGGTAGAGTATCACATTCTCCCGTGTAACACAGTGGCCCACCATGGTTTACCATAATAGCTACATACTGGCTTAAAGCCACAAATTCAAAACTTAGAATGAGGAGCCATGCACAGTGAGATGGCTCAGTGGGTAAGGACACTTGCCACCAAGCCTGACAACCTGAGTATGATCACAACTCGTACAATAAGAGAGAGAACAGACCCCCACATATACACACACATTATCTTCTGGCCTCCTCTTGAATGTAGCATACATAAGAGAGAAGAAAAAAACATGGGAGGGAGGGAGGGAGGGAGGGAGGGAAGGAGGGAAGGAGGGAAGGAGGGAAGGAGGGAAGGAGGGAAGGAGGGAAGGAGGGAAGGAGGGAAGGAGGGAGGGAGGGAGGGAAGGAAGGAGGGAAGGGGGGAAGACTAGCCACTTTTTCAGATGGCCTGTCTCTGCTTTGAAAATACAGTAGCCTATGCATTGAAGGGACACGGTGGATCATTTGGGTCTCTAGTAAATTGCTTGGGTCCTTTTATTTTCTTTTGAACCATAATCTATTGTCCCAGGAACATGCCAAATTTGGGGTCCCACAATCTCCTCCAGTGTCTGGGACTTAAAAGAAAATGAGGTTTAAATGCATGTAAAGCAAATGAGTTGTAACAGAAGTATTTGTGAAGGTAGACAGAGTCAGGTACACAAGACAACTGTTGCACTAAAACTGTTGCCATGCACTGGTTAAAGAGAAACAGTAGCCAGTCTGTATACAAAAGACACTGTTTAGATGACTGGTCTCTGGCGGGCGGGCAGCTAGCCCATCTCAGACCCAAGAAACTTTCAGAAAGTAATTTCTCCATCAACTAACACACCTTCGTTATAGTCTACTCATGCACACAAGCAAGTATCCTAAGTAACAAGTCAGTCATGAAATGCCATGGAGCCATCATTCTCAGATACAATCCAAAATGTAAAAGGATCCCGATAAATTTAAGTATTTTTCTTAAATCAACATCCTTTCCCATGTATTACATTATTAACTGAATGAATGAATTGCCAATATTTGGAGAATTTGGAGAGGATCTTAATTTATAAATTGTTAGAATAGAGACAGACAGAGAGAGAGAGAGAGAGAGAGAGAGAGAGAGAGAGAGAGAGAGAGAGAGAGAGAGAGAGAATGAATGCCGAATGCCATGCTGTTAGCTTTATAGATAGAATTGTGGTTTGGGCTTGCCATGCTGTCGAAAAGACAATTGAATTATGCAATAGAAATATGTTAGCTATACCAAGTGTATTTCATGTATGACTGTGTTCACTGTAATGTCTACAAAGTTGCACTGAAAAGTATTATCTTGCTTTAGCATCAAGCATCCTTCTGAAATTAAAGCTATGCGTGTTAAGGTGATCTATATTAAACCTACACTAACTGCCTTCTCTTTGCTGTGCTAATATTGACATGCTATCCTTTCTCTGCGAACCTTTTAACTTCTCCAAATGTCTTTCTCCTGCCACGCTGCTCTGGACTGAAAGGTGGGGATGATAGCAAAATGTGCCCGCCCCTTTGCAGTTACTCGGGGCTCAATGGCGCCCCCTCTGGTGAGTTAGAGTGCTGCGGAGCTTATAGACAGCATTTGGACGTCCCGGGAGACTCGCAAAGGGCCATCACTTTCAAGAATGGCTGGCAAATGGCCCGGCAAAATGCAGAGATCTGGAGTAGCACTGAAGAGACTGTTTCCCCCAAAATCAAATCACGTAGCTGTGATGATCTCCTGAATGACGACTGCGACAGCTTCCCAGACCCTAAAACCAAGTCAGAAAGTATGGGTTCTCTGTTATGTGAAGAAGACTCCAAAGAGAGCTGCCCCATGGGGTGGACTTCCCCCTACATACAGGAAGTGTGTGGAAACAGCAGATCTAGGCTCAAACACAGGTCAGCCCATAATGCCCCAGGCTTCCTCAAAATGTACAAGAAAATGCATCGCATCAACCGCAAGGATTTGATGAATTCAGAGGTCATTTGCTCCGTGAAATCCAGGATCCTGCAGTACGAGAAGGAGCAACAGCACAGGGGGCTGCTCCACGGATGGAGCCAGTCTTCCACCGAGGAGGTGCCCAGGGACGTGGTACCCACTCGCATTTCAGAGTTTGAAAAGCTGATTCAGAAGTCAAAGTCTATGCCCAATCTAGGAGATGAAATATTATCTCCCATAACCCTAGAGCCTCCACAAAATGGTTTGTGTCCCAAGAGGCGATTTTCTATTGAGTCTCTGCTGAATGAAGAAACTCAGGTTCGACACCCTTCTCAGGGTCAGCGAAGCTGCAAGTCTAATACCCTGGTGCCCATCCACATCGAGGTCACCAGCGACGAACAACCTAGAACACATGTGGAATTTTCCGACAGTGACCAAGATGGGGTTGTGTCTGACCACAGCGACTACGTTCATGTCGAAGGGTCATCCTTCTGTAGTGAAAGTGACTTCGACCACTTTTCATTCACATCCTCTGAAAGCTTCTACGGATCCAGCCATCACCATCACCACCACCATCACCGACACCTCATCAGCTCCTGCAAAGGCCGTTGCCCGGCTTCTTACACTCGATTCACCACAATGTTAAAACATGAAAGAGCTAAGCATGAAACTATTGACCGACCCAGAAGGCAAGAAATGGATCCTGGCCTATCTAAACTTGCATTTCTAGTCAGCCCCGTGCCTTTCCGAAGGAAAAAAATTTTGACTCCAAAAAAACAGACTGAACAAGCAAAATGCAAAGCCTCAGTAGTTGAGGCTTTGGACTCTGCCCTTAAAGACATTTGCGACCAAATAAAAGCTGAAAAGCGGAGAGGAAGCTTGCCAGACAACAGTATACTGCACAGACTTATCAGTGAACTGCTGCCACAGATTCCAGAAAGGAATTCATCTCTTAACGCTCTAAAAAGGAGCCCCATGCACCAGCCTTTCCACCCACTGCCTCAAGATGGTGCTATTCATTGTCCCCTGTACCAAAATGATTGTGGGAGAATGTCTCACAGTGCCTCTTTCCCAGACGTGGACACAACCAGCAACTACCACGCACAGGACTATGGTAGTGCACTGAGCCTCCAAGGTGGATGCGCTTTTCTTTCTTTTTCTCATGTGGCTCAGATCCCATCCTTTCGCTCATTTGTTTCTCCATCCTGCATCTCATCGCTCTTGAGCCGTGAGACCACGTGACGTCATTCTGTGTTGCCAAGCAAAGAGCTGTGTTGTGCAGGCGTGTCTGACTCGGTAGTTCTCATTTGCCTGTGTGATATTTGACATTCATGTGTTGGCTGAAAGTGATCATCCATTCACAAACATTTATTCACTTAAAAGAAAATTCAAATATGTCACTTATTTTTAGGATTAGAACAAGTAGGATATTGTAAAAAAAAAAAAAGAAAGAAAGAAAAGAAAAGAAAAGAAAAAGAAATGATAAAAATGAGAAATCTCCACATTCTGGAAGTCTGTATTTACTTAACACCAATGCCTTGAAGCATGCATCACAAACAGTAGATCCAAATGTTTTTAAAAGTAGGCTGTACAACTGGAAAACTTCAAATCAAGACATTCCAGAATCTAATTTCTAGCAAAAAATGGCCATTTTCTAATGGCCATCAGTTATCTAATACCCTAACATAATCACCTCTCAAATTCAAAAGAATGTATCAAGACAAAAACTATAATTCAATAGATGTATCCCTAAGATCTATTTGGGCTCATTAGGAATCAAAGCCAGAAGTTTCTCAGACTTTTCTTTGATTTCTATATTAACCTTAGAACACTATACTTATTCACTCAAAGAAGCTGGTCCCCACAAGTTATTTAATAACTCCCCCCATTTAAAGGACACAATTTGGATGGTATTCTGTGAATGTATCTTTAAGATATAGATATGATTTCTATGAACTTCATTTTCTTCGTTGTATTACTTGATTTACTCACTTCTGTTGGGATAATCTTATGCTGGAGTGTGAATTGGATTATGCTAAACATGATTCTTGAGTAAGTCCATTTTCACCACTAACACAAATGTTAGAAGGCAAATGACAATCTGAATGAGAGGTATTTACTGAAGTTAGCATAACCTTAAAACAGTGTGCATCGATACTTTTATCTAATTCTCAAGTGAATCTGTATAGGACACACATGTCATGAGGCTAGAGTAAATATTCCAGACTTGGGGGTGGGCTGTCAGCAGAGCAGCTTCATACACTGGCACTGCATTGTCCAATTGAAACCAACATGAGTCAATGGATTTGTATTATAGTAAGTGCTGTTTTACAATTGAGAAATTGAAGGGCAAAGAGGATAAAGTTTCTGAATATAACTCAGATTACAGTAACAGCAAGAGAATTCAAATCCCTATTAGCTAAAAATGTATGACATAAAATATAATTCCTAATGGCAAAAAAAACAAAATTGTTAATAACCACTGGAGAATTTTACTTATTGGTATTTACCTTCACTCTAATTTGTACTGTACAACATTCTGGAAAACAATAAATTAGAACAAACAGGGCTCAGTAGTTAAGAGCCCATGCTTACCTTCCAGAGGACTCAGGTTCAATTCCCAGTATGCACGTGGCAACTCACAACTGTCTATAACTCCAAACCCAGGGAAAGACTGCCATCAAATACACTGTACATACATGGTGCACAGACTTACATACAGACAAAAACCCATATACAAAAAATAACATAATATAAAAAGAATAGAATAATAGATAGAATAATGATTTAATAATATTAAGAGTATACTATTTCATTTACTTGATAAAATAATAAATTTCAAATTTAGAAATTTATAATCACTTCTATTTAAACGGAAACAAGTTGTAACCCAATTTTTTAACTACCTACTTCAATTATCTGATACCCTGATATATAGTATTATCAAAACATGAGTTTGAAGCATTGAAAAAATATATTATATGCATAAACAAAAATTATCTTGATAGTTTGTAATATTCAACATATTTATATTTGTTAAAGTGAGTAAATGTTTAAACTTTGACCCAGTTACACAAGTAAAATTCTATGATGCTGCCAGATACTTTCACACTTTTACTTACATCCCCCATGCAAATCACACAACTATGGTAGGTTTAAGAAACCAAGAGAGAGATTTGCAGTCATCACTTTTAAATGTAGCTATTTATAATTTGCTTTAGTGAGGACAAGACCTCACTATTTCATAAGCAATTTGGCAACTTCATATGAGGCTTTCTGGTTATCCTTTGTTTTCTAGAATAAATATTTTACTTTCTGATTAGTTGAACAATCTTGTACAAGGGAAAGTCATAAAAGGTATGGAATCTTAAGGCCAAATAAGTACTTACAAACAGTCATTCCACACACATTCATGAATGTACACACATGTATACACACATCCACACACACATACATGCATACACATGTGCACATGCACATATGCTTACACACACATACACACAACCACACAGGCACACACATGCATAAACACACATGCACACACATATACATGCTTGCACACACATATACACGCATGCACACATATACACATGCACACACACAAGCACCCACACTCCCCACACACACATGCATACATTCATGCATGTATACACATGCATATGCACATATACACACAACATGCATGCATGCACACACACTCACACATGCACACACATGCATGCACATACATGCATGTACACACATGCATAGTCGTGCACACACACGCATAATTCATGCATGCATACACATGCATACACACACATGCATGCACACACATTCACACACACATACATGCACATTTTCACACACATACATGCATGTACACACACATGCATGAATGCATGCACAGGCACACACACTGGGTGGAGTATGACTGTAGTCCTGTCATGTTCATACTCGTTCTTTTCATCATCACTTCTGAGATTGTACTTCACAATCATTTGTCTCTAGAAATGTGTTGTTTTTAAATTTTCCATTCTTTCTGTATCTTATAATAATTACATTTTGGAATCAAGAAGAATAGAAATATTAATCATGATAAATTTGGAGCATGAAAATCTCTATAACTGGGGATCATCTACACCAAAGATTGCAGTGTAATCAATTGGCAATAGGATATTTTATATGTGATTGGAATACTTGTTATTTGTGTATTTCTTCATTTTCAATATGTGTGTGTGTGTCTTATATCATTACTTTACAGTTACTTTTGAATTTTACATCCGTGTTCTCATCAATGATATCTCTCCAAATTTAGGGGTAAAATAATTGCCACCAGGGAAAGTGGCTAGCCAGTTTCCTTTCAATGAAGTGAAATCTCACTCTGTCTCCCCTTATCCCTTCCAACAGATCACGAGTCCCCAAGAAGTTATTCATCCACTCTGACTGACTTGGGAAGAAGTGTATCACGGGAACGAAGAGGAACTCCAGAAAAAGAGGTATTTAGTTGTATTGGACTGTTTTCTTGACCTGGTACTCATGAACTAATAGAGTTCTAATTGGCCGCCTTTGTGTGTGTGACGGTGGTGGTGGGGTGTGATCTGTACAAGTACTTTTGTTGGAGAATACTCCTGAAAATAGGTACAGACTTTTATCAATCCAGTTCCTGTAGCATTGACATGTTCTCATACACCAGTGACTCCTGCTCCATCACCCTCAGCCAGAGCCGGAGCATCTATTCCTAATTGCCTTGGAAGTCAGGAGGGCTTTGTCAGCTTCTGAGATAGCCTGTGCGACCCTTATGCAGTCAGAATTTGTCCAGGTTTCTTGATGCTCACTAGAATCACAGGGGAAGAAAAATGGGGTGAAGGAATTGCTGATCAGTGGGAAGAGCTGATGTCACTAGCTACATGGTACGTTGTACCTCAGGTAGATTCATGGGCCCAAGAGTTTGAGGGCAGGCATGAGTATTACCTCACAACTAAAAGATAAGCCAGGGGATTCCTCAACCCCCCATTTCCATATTTTTGACAAACCTCTTGGAAACTGGGCTACTTCTTGGATAGTCAGTATCTAGTGAAGAATATAATAACTTCTTTTTATGTCTTTTCTTATGACTCAGGCAGACTAGTGTAAATCCATAGAAGTTAGAGCATCTAGCCCTCCACAAATGTCTGTTTGTAGTATTCAGAAATGGCACACGTGGGACAGACTCCTTCATGGGCATTTTATTGTGTTATGCCATTAATCTACTTTTGTTCCTAAAGCTAAGCCTGATGATGAAATCAGCTATATTTCTACCGTTCTGAGGGTAGCACTAACCCATACATTTGTAACTTGCACGGATTACTTAAATTACATGTGTTTTATAGTCCTTATGTGAAATCTTAAAATCTTTCAAATTGGGGCAAAACATTTACCTTCTTTTTTTTTCAGAAACTGCCTGCAAAAGCTGTCTACGATTTCAAAGCTCAGACATCTAAGTAAGTGGAATAAAAATTCACTATGTGTTTGAATTTCATTTTTACTATTGTGAGGTATGTGTGTATGTCTGTGAATGAGTGTGCTACAAATAAGACCCAACTCTCAATTCTATATTACTCTAATCAGCTAGCTCCTTTAGAATTACTAATGGACAGGATAATTCATTTTCAAGTTCAGCTGTGAATCGCCAACTCTTAAATCCCATCAGTTACATGAGTGATGCACAATGAATTCAGAGGGGAATCGGCGGGAAACAAGAAGAGTATTTGTTTCTATAAATTTTTCTGTTAAGAATTAAGTTTTCTAAAAGCGATAGGGAGTAATTATTCCTACCCAGTGAGAGGAACTTGAGGGCATTTGTCTGTCCAGCTACATCAAGAACGGTTAGTAGCATGAACAAGAACACCTGCACAGAGAGGGCCCGGCAGAGAAAGCTTCATCTCCCAACACTCAAAGCTTAGAGATTCCTAGGAGAGCCCACTCCTGTCCTGTCTGTGGTGAGTGCTGATGTTTTCACAGTCCTGGGCTGCTTTCCTGTTTCTTTGGGGACTTCTTCATCCAAAAGACAAGGCACGAAAATGAGGGAGGTTAATGTGAAGCACACAATAGAGATCTATATATCTCCTTCAAAAGCATGTCACCCTCCCCATCACCATAGAAATCTTCCCATGGATTCACCTCAAAGTTCCCATCACAACCTCACAGCAGTGCTTAGGTGGGGCCTTGGTGGAGCATTTGAGACACAAACTATACCATAACAATCATTGTGTTTCTTCTGCACTTCAGGCATGGTGTTGATTCTTTGTAAGGTATTGTGAAAAAACTATATAAACTATATCTATTTTATTTGTACTTTGTGACAAGCCATCAAAATTTTTCCTAAGTACATATCATAACAGAGTCTATAACACAGGAAAGATGTCAGCCTAGGGCTCAAAAGGTGTTCCAGGTGTTCTGGAAGGTATACAGGATGTTAAGAGGGAAAGGGGGAACAGGATAAGAAAAGAGAGAGGATTGATTTGATCAAAACACATTCTATACATGTATAAAGTTTTCAAACAGTAAGTTGAAAACTAAGTCTAAGTGTGAAAAAGCCCACAAGACTCAGAGCCGGTGAGACAGCTCGGGGGGTAAAGGCTCTTGGCATCAAGCCTGACAACCTGATCCTTTCTTTCTATATAATGGAAAGAACCAGCATCTATGAGTTGTCTTCTGATCTCCACACATGGTGACATGTGGGTGCCCACATATACATATGTGCACATACACAAACACACACATATATGCAAAATAAGTAATAAAATACAAACAAGCTTCAAAGAGAAGATGACACACATCACAGAGAACAGGGCCAGGAATGACTGGACCACTGCTCGTAAATCATCCCACGTGCTCACCCTATTCACGGACCCCATTCTTCTCTGGAGATCCCTGATCTAGAGTCGGGGAATCTTGCTCTCCCACGTTGCTATTACCGTAAGGGAAAGGCCATGGTACTACCTGCCTGTACCATCCCGACTTTCACAGAGAGCAAGTGTGTATCTACCTAAACTAATACAATCTGTGTGAGCTTTTCCCATCAAAGCCAAGAAGGAAGTGGGTCGGTTGGTTTATCCTATGAACAGAGCTGTCTTATTATAGCTTAATGATCCTCCTCTTGTTCTGTTCTCAGAAGACATAAAGGGAACATCTGCCACCTCCATTACAGTTCTATATTTGACACAAAAATCAGAGTGATGGGCAACTTGTGTAACTTTCAAGGCTCATAAACCCAACCATCTTTGGAAACTGTAGAAGAAGCCAATTTTAGTTCTTTTACATTAGGAGATGTGAATGCTTTTGTGTGTAATATGAACACACACATGTATACATACATGTGTATATGTTTTAAATACATATTCGTTTAAAGCTATTTATTATTCAATAAGCTCACCTGTAATAATTATAAAAACTACACCTAAGTAACTCACCCAAGAAAATGTCTCAGTTGTAGATAGGAGAAGGAAGAGATGACTTCTCATTTCCCATAGGGTCCACAATAGCCAGCAGTTTAAAATGCAATAAAAATACAGCAAATTATCAAAATGGGACTCTAGCTCTGACATGAGGAACAGAGTTTTGAAAACTGGAGAATAAGGCAATTTTCCCTTTACTGAATATATCCTGAACTTTAAATGAATATAGGACTTCACTATATTAAGTAGAAAGTATCTATACTCATATTAGAAGAAAAATTGCTTGCCTATAATTCCCATGTATATTCTAAAATTTTAAGTTGGTGATGTTTAGAAATGCCCCTGGTACAAGCCAAATTATTAAGTCATAAACATTACATATGACTATATACTAGCAAAGTAACAATAATATAGTCCCTCTTTCATATCATTGCACTGCAGGATATGATTTATACAAGGTGTGATCTATATACTTGCTCTTCAAAATCATTTCCAAGATTATATTAAGTGACTTCTTGAAATTCATAAGGAAAATCCTCATCTAACTAAACTTGGCAGATGTTTCTATGTGGGGAGTGTATTTATCAGATAAAGAATGTGAATCATAATACTAATTGATATTCATTCAGAAAGAGTCCATTAATCATGTCTCCTCCAGGGAGCTGTCATTTAAGAAAGGAGATACTGTCTACATCCTCAGGAAAATTGACCAAAACTGGTATGAGGGGGAGCACCACGGAAGAGTGGGCATTTTCCCAATCTCATACGTAGAGGTACGTCCTTTCTCCTCACATTCTGAAGGATGCTGTCCCAAAGGTTGTCACAAGTTTACGAAACCAACAGTTGTTCTCCTTTACAGAAACTAACACCCCCAGAAAAAGCGCAGCCTGCGAGACCACCACCCCCAGTCCAGCCTGGAGAGATTGGAGAAGCCATAGCCAAGTACAACTTCAATGCAGACACAAACGTGGAACTCTCCCTGCGAAAGGTAACCTGGATGTGCTCTTCATTGGGGTGTTTTCAGTGACTGTGCAGTTCTGAAGCCAAAATAGGTTACCTTCTTTACTAGAACATTCCAGGTTTTCTTTAGCTTCTACAAAAGACTTGAGACTGTTAAGGCTCACTGTTACCTCTGGTCCCTGTGACTCTTTCCTGTGAAACACAGAGTTCTGAGAGTCTATCCGTGACTTAGCCTAAGAATCATGACCCTGAGTCCCCTCCAAGGGGTGCCTCTACTGGAGCTAAGAAGTGCATGTGTGGAACCCTAAAAGGAGAGTGCATTTTAATTACAAGATTTCAAGGTATCTTTGTGTACTGCCTCATTACTCAGCTTTAAATAAGTATACCAATACTTACTTTTCTCTATCTTGGAATCAAGGAATGGTCCTAATGTAATGAGAATATTGACCTTTCTAGAAGCCTTTTTGAAGAGCTATCTATGCAATCCTGTTTCCTTGATCATTCTTCACTAAATCCTATGATGGATGCAAATTTCTCCAGCAAGCTATCCAGTACAAGAAATCTGTCTGGAAAAAAAAATCAAAAAGGAACTGTTTAATTTCCTTCCTTGTACAGTTCACGATAATAAATGAAGCACTGCTATCATTTGCTAAACAATGACATGTATATATTTGAGGCAACTAGGTCTCCACACAGCACAGAAAATATGGTAGTGTCACTTGGGGTAATCTAGAACATGCCGTGCCTGTGGATAGTTGGTAAACTGAGGGCGACTCAGGGCTGCAGCAGGCAGTCTAATTTTCTCCTTCTGTCCCTAGTTCTGCATCACCAGCAATCCTCTCCTCCTTTCCTTGCACACTACTTAGCCCAGAAGACCACACAGTGCCACACACAGTATACCATCTTCTTTGCCATACTTTAAAGGTTGGTCATTGTGTGAGATACCCCAGAAAAGCCTATCAATTGCCTGTTTTGGGCACATGAGAAAATCAGTTCAATTTGGAGAGATTCCCTTTTCTTCAGTATGTTCTGCTCGGTGAGTCACATTTTAAAAACTATCCAGCACTTTGAGTTGAAAAGCACTGAAGGAGGCTCCCTGCTGTGCTGAAGCTGATCAGTAGACATCACCACCATAACTATCAGATCCAGTTCTCCACAGTTCTATAGCACCTTCTGGCTGCACCTGCTGGGTTTGCCCTTTAACAGCAGCTTGCTGATTTGGTTCTGGCCCATGTGTGGTTTTGAGTAAGGAATTAGATAACGTTATTTGACATTGGTCTGCTCATTGTGATCATAGAAATGTCTACTATTGCAAAAGCTGAAGATTCTACTCAAATGCTTAGTGGGCAGAGTGGCATAGCCACTCAACATTTAGAAGGGATGCTGGGGTTGACCTGTCCTGATAAGACCCAATTGCTGCATTGCCCAATCCATGGCTATGGATATTCTCGGGTGCCATCTCTGCCTCCTCCTTTTCAGTCACTCTGTCACCTCTCAGGACAATGCAGATTAAAGAAGGAAAACAGCATGCCATCCAACATTGTGCCTTCCAGAAGATGGCTTCTGTGACCCATTTTAGACACTGTTTCTTCCACCTGCACATCCTCACGATGATTCAGTGGAGATTAGATGAGGCACCTGTCATGGATATGGAATCTTTCATACTATTTGCCTTTTGAGATAACTTCCACAAGTCATTTTACTTTGAACCAGCATGAAGTATATATAATCTCATTCCCATCATCCTTAGGACTCTAACGTCATGAATGGACAGTTAGCTTACATCTATGATGACAATCTATGCTTTTCTAATAAACACTGGGACCTTGCTCACATTCTTCTGATCAAGCAAAAACCAGAGGTATACAACTTTTCCAAATAGAAAACTACTGTTTTATCAGAAAACAATGAGTTATAAGTTTTTTATATCATTGTGTCTCTACGTATAATGCATTTTCCCAACGCTCATTCCAGGGCGACAGGATTATTCTTCTTAAAAGAGTTGATCAAAACTGGTACGAAGGTAAAATCCCAGGAACCAACAGACAAGGCATCTTCCCTGTCTCCTACGTAGAAGTTGTCAAAAGGAACACAAAAGGTCCTGAGGATTACCCTGACCCTCCTCTACCCCACAGCTACTCCAGTGATAGAATCTACAGTCTAAGCTCCAATAAGGTAAGAAGCCATTCCATCATGCTACCTCTGTACTTGGGATCTCAGAATGTCATAATCAGTAGGCGATTTGGGGGATGTCAGACCATCATATCTACTGAAAAGAAACAAATTCATATATTCATATACATGAGTTGCAGGTTAGAAAATATAATTTTCCTCAAGTAGGTGCTGGCATTAAAAACTTAATGTTCATTTTTGTTAATTCCATTTTCAAGTTAAAGTCTATAAAGAGAGAGAAAATGTTAGTATCATCAACCTTTCTTGACACATCTCAATATTTCTGTGTATATAAATTACACATATACAGATATATACATATATATAGTATATCTAATCATTATATTTACTAGGTATATAATATTCTATGAAAGTCTTAAGGTATTTTCTTCATAGACAGCCTAAGGCATTATATTTAATTTAAGGCCTATGATTCCATTATTAGTTTAAATATGATAATTAGAAATAGTCAGTTTTTATTATTTTTGGGGGCCACAAATTCCACTGTTTCACCTAAGCTGGCAGCTGAAGATGATTGATTCTCTTTCTCAATACAATCTAGAAAGAGCTTCCCCTCCTGAACTGGTCCATTAGATCAAGGCTACCCTCCAACTTCCCTTATCTCCCAATTTTCCCCTCACTTTTCTATTGAATTAGAAGATATCTTATGGATGTATATATGGGTTTCTTTCTACTTTACAATTATTTTAAAATATAAAAATGTAAAGCACCAGTGAAATTATTTCCAAAATATTATCAAATGCCTCCCAACAATGAAAGTGGTGTATTCGGTTGTAGGTTATGCTGTTGAGCTCAGGGCAAGGATGTAGATAACAGACCACTAACACTGTGAAAATGTGAAGTCAAGGTTACCATCAGACAGTGTCCCAGGAGTCTAAACCACCCTACCTACGTGAAAGACCTATGAATCTATCTCAATTGAGATATTTTCCTTTAAAAGTCAAGGTTTGACATTTTATTAATTCTAATCCTCTTCAAAAACTAGGTTTTAGTCATGAGTAATTACCATACATCCTCTTGCACTGGATAACTGAGCAGTTTGCACCAGTTTGATATTGAAGTTTCCAGAATTTAACGTTTAGAAGCCAATATCCTTCCTTCAGTAGTCTCTGTTGATAATGGAAAAAGAATCTTCACCCATCCACATATGTTTTACCCACAATCCATTGATCTTAAGAGAACTTTCAGATAACCCTCAAGTCACTGAACCTTTAAACAGATGCAGAAGAGAAAACCATGTATCTTTAAATGCTTACTTGGCACTGAAGAACTTCTCCCATATGCTCTAATTAACAATGGCAAGCAAATATTTTAAATCAGTATTTTTGTTTTTTTTCCTGAATACGTTTTAAGTGGAATTCATGGTTTGTGTTATAATACTGCATTTTACATAGAAGAATCTACAAATACCAAATTTTAATACAGGAATGTACAAGTTTCACTAGTAACTAATCGTCTTGTTCTTACTGCTGAAAAAAATAAAACAACTTTATGTCGATAATTTGAAAGAAATTCTAGTTTCATATCAGCTGGCTATCTATCCTATGATGCCATTGGCTTAATGAAGGAAATTTCTGTAGTGGTGCGCTGGTCAATTTCAGGAAAAAAATGTATTTTTAAATAGTGAAAGATACAAAAGCAGAAAAAGATAAACCTCCTATTTTCTAACTGGTATTTACAAATAGAGAAAGGAATGCATTGATAACTTTTGAATCATTCTTTGGCAAATTCAAATCACATAGCTTGATGTATTTCTATTTTGAGAAAGGCTCAAATATAAGATTATTTCCTATTTTGGTACAACAGAATCCAATTCTAATCCTTTTAATATAAAATAACTTCAACTTTGTACTATAACTACATTTTGTGATATAGGTACTACTTAATCAAAATTAACATTTAATTTTAGTATTATGAAGTCCATTTTAAAACTTTTGCTCTTGTGGCCCTTTAACAAGAACAGAGGTGACATGGGGGCAGTAACAGTGATGTCAGCAGTAGCAGATAGCAGTAGATACTACAGTTGTGATGACCACAGTTAAATTTAGATATTTCTCATACACATAGCATTTCTGTCCACATGAGAGAAAAACAAAAGTATTCATCTTGAGTTACTATCAATTTCACTCATTCCCAAAATCTAATCACTAAGATCAACCCTAACATTTCTGTGTTTGTTCCCAGAAGTGTAAAAAAGAATGTTAGCCAGTAAGAGAACTAATAGACTATCAGATGAAAATTCATCTTAGGGCCAATGTGGCTTTCAATCCATCACAAAACACGTGTACAGTATGACTTCGTGTCAGTGGCTAAGCAGACTTAGATCCTATATGAAGATGCTCACATGGTTGTGTTATACGTGGTGCTGTTCATGATACCCCGTGATGAGACTGTCATATTTCCTTTAAAATGTAAATAAGTTCCACTGGTGCCCCTTCCTACAAGAGGACACTTTTAGTCAATCATTCATTGGGAAATACTGTGCACTTGGACATAGTGAAGGGCAAGGCTTCCCTTGGTTGATGTGTGAAGGGTTATCCTAAACAGTCAACCAGAATGTGCATCTCCAGTGACCTTTTCTGAGAGACTTTTCCTCACAAGCTAAAGTCAAGTATCTAGAAAGCACTAACTTAAAGGTCATCCTGCTAGCCTCTTTCATGGCCCTTATATGCATAGCCTGTAGCATTGATTTTCCTCGTACAGTGAGGGAAGAGCACTATATATCATAATTACTAGGCAGGCTCTTTAGAAGTACTTCTTTTGAATTTGCACTTGTTGTTTAATTAAAATATTCAAATTATATCAATAATATTAAAATATAAAGCATGATATTTTGACTTCCCAAGATCCAGTTTTATAAAGTACATTCCTTGGGCTTACCTAAACTATCTCACTTAGAAGATGGGCCCGCGTGGCCATCTCCTGTCCTCTTTGGTGTGAACATTTACTTTGGAGATGTTTGAAACTTTCAATCGGTGATTACACAAGATTGGTTTCATTCGGATCCTGGGCCTCTGTGATTAAGAAATATATTTTAGCATTTATTCCCTTAGACATATGTTCATTTATGCTAAGTCTAAAATGCTTTGTGCCCCATAAATGGGACAACTGTGAAAACCCGAGAGTGGACACCTCTGTGGGGAGGGGAAATGGTCAATCAATTCAGAGAGTAAAACAAAACTTAGTTATTAGATATCCCCAGATATACTTGAAATATAGACAAGAGTCCACACAGCCTCAGAGAAGTGGATTAATAGCAAGCCTTTTAGGACTTCATTGCCTGCCCTCATGATGTCCATGAAGCTCTCTCTATCTTCCCTTTGGATGCTGGTATCTTCCAGAACTGAGAGCATTTGGTTGCTCGCATAAGGTTTACAGTTAGCCTAAATGGTTTTATGGGTTTAAATTTTGAATAACTTCTCCCCATCTAGAAATTTTCCAACTGTCTTCTATCTATGTCTGTGCTACAGCCTAAAATTTTATTCATCACCGCACCTCTGCCATCGCATTTTCATGTGTTATTATTTTCTTTGTCTGTTTTACTTCATAACTCCTGATCATTTATAAGTTGGCTTCCAGTGAACACACCTGTCTTCCCATGTACAATGCTATGCCTGGCCCAGAGAAAAGAGCCATCCAGGGAACTGCCCAAGCATGTCTATCCCTGACAGAAGGGTGTCCACCAGCAAACTCATTGGCTCCAACACCATCATCTTTCCTCGACAACTTCCTGATTGAATTAGAGAAGTTTAATGCTTTAGCCTTACCATCTGACCAGGACAAACCGAACATCCTAAACCAGGTCATCCTTGAAATTAAGGAGGAGCCCTCTCCTCTTCCTCTCTCGCTGCCTCCAGCCTCTGTACCAGACGAATCCCCTCCCTGCCTATCACCTTCTCCCCACTCAAGTACCACTTCAACCGAGGCCCAGACTGCCAACACGAGGCCCAGAGATCACACGAAGGACACTCAAAGCAAATTCATAGATTTGAATAAAAAGAGAAGGGGTTTTTCAGACCCTACCAAGATCCTTGAAGCCCTAGGTGATAAATTTGTGGCCTCTGCATGTACCAACGTGGGTGCCTTGCCTGTAACTCTTCCTGTCATTGGAGAGGAAGATGAGGACAGCTATGAGGGGCTTTCATACCAAAGATGGCTGCCAGGATCTCAAGAACAAGATGTCATGTGGTATGACCCCAGCAGTACAGAGATGACACCACAACTGTACATCAAGGAGGAAGAAGAGGAGGATGAGAATCCAGACTGCTTAACATATTCACTAGGCATTCCCACATATCCTAGGAGCCCCAAGGAAGACAGCAATGCAGCCAAAACCAGTAATGAGGTATCTAATTTTGCCTAGTTACTGGGGACTAATCAGTTATACAGAAGAGTTAATAATATTAGTAAATACCTACATCTGACCCTGTCATAGTAAGCTTCTTTATGAGGAGTATATGTATTGGAAATTCTGGGGTAGAAGGCTAGGCAAGCACAACATAGTTTATTACAATGATGGGAATACCCCAATCTCCCATTATCCCTTTGTCACTACAACTCCAACTTTTATATACTTAAGTTTACTTGTCCTTTTGATATTTTAATGTTAATAATGATAACTAATCATTAGCTCATAGTGTCAGACCCCGTTCTCAGAACCCAACATCTCTAATTTTCAAAACCCAGAGAGCCTAGGAAACATGGTTAACTTCGCTTTAGTGATGAAGAAATAGATAGATAAACAGGCTTGTCTAATTCCAAGATGAACAAACAATCCCCCTTGATGTGATGGCAGTCTGCAGAACAGAACAACGAAGTAAATAAAGTAAAGTGTCAAAAATAAAATAGTTCTCCCACCCCCGTTTGACTCTCCTGGGAGAGTTGTTCCCTTGAGGTCACAGCTGCTTGGAGTCTGGGACCTTAGCCAGTAGTTTCCATCAATATAGGAAGGGAGTGGCCTGAACCATAAGTTCACGAATTTC